TTACGTATTTTTAATTTAAGACAAAATTTAAGTACCGCTTTCACTTTGAAATTTCTCCCATTTATATTTGGAATTCGATATAAGCATACTTGAAAATAAAAAGTCCTCAAATTTTGGAAAATAATACAATTGTGATTCTATCAAAAATTTTTAACATTTTTTAAATATAACGAACACACCTACGTTATCGTTTCATTTTTTTTAAATTAATTCCCTTTATAGCGAAGATATAATTTATGAAAATAATGGTAAGTGATATTGTGTGTATAATATATACGAATATCTGAAAAATGAAAATTTCGAAAAATTACAGGCTTCGAAAATTTAGTTTACTCTAAATACTGTGTAAATTTAAGAAATATTTCTTTTGTAATTTCAATTTTGCAAATAAATAAGTAAAATTAGCCAAGACGAAGGAACAAGACGTACGATATTGTACACGATATTTGGACTACCAATGAGGTCAAGGACACGGCCGAAGGTCGATCTTCAAAATAATATTATGTCGTGGAATGCGTATGATATATACTATAAACAGGAAATTGGTAGTACACTCGGGAAATTCGAACGTTTCACCTGAAAAGGTACATGAACCTCGACAGAAATAACCTAACGCAACCTCGGGTCAATATCGCAACGGACCCTTGAAGAACATGGTGTTTTTGACGCGGATAGTAGCGAGAGCGCGCTATTCAGGTAAAAGGTTAGTAGAGAAGCGCCGGATTGATTTTCTCTGGCTAGCGTACATTGTGACGTGACAGAATGATATTATCCGCTGAGCAACGTGCTGTTCTTTACGATCGAATCATAGTAAAGGTACTCTTTATTATGAAACTGCAATGAGTATACCTCGATCGTTGCATTTCTGTAGAGAAATGTGGAAAATGCACGAATACGAGGATCATGAAAGTTTCGTTGCTATCGTCGAATGTTTAAGAAACGAGCAGAACTTGCGCGAATCTGCATAGGAGCGAAAGAGGCTTTGAATTTCCGGCACATGAAGTGGCCTGACAACGCCGCATGATCTTTCGCGATGTTGCCACAGCCTCGGGTGACGTCACAAGACATACGACTGCCGACTGAGCACGTAAAGCAGCTCGCCGGCAAAGCCAAACTTACGCTCGGAAAAGTACAACGCTCTCTTTGTTACTCGATAGGAATAATCGGAGATCGTATCTACCCGCTTCGTTTGCACTTATTGTCAGTGAAATGCAGAAACTACGTACTCCAGGCTACACACTTTTATTCGCTTCCACAGAAGCGTAAATTTAAGAAAAATCCATACACGATTGGCATCGCAATACGAAGCGATAATATTTTTAGGTTAAACACGCTTCCCACATTCGAGATACGCTGGCATTTTTACTAAACGTACGAGTTATTCTTACAACCTTTATTCATTTTTGATAAATTCCTTTTGTGTATATGATTATTATATAGTTGTTTTTAGGAATCGTTCGATGGTGATATTCGATTGAAATAACGATTGAAAGCGTTACGGAAAATAATGCACGAAGAATATTACGTGCGATATTTCGCTGCAAGGTGTCGACGATTTGTGGCATTTTCCCGCGCACGGAGAGAGGAGGTAACCTCGTCTTTACGTGTTACCAACAGTCTGGCATAGAACTCCGTTAAGAAATCTTTAAATTCCGTTACGTAATGGTTCAGCAACGATAACCCTATGACACGTACCAGGTGTGTCCGGATATTTACTGTCAACTTAAGTCATCAAATATTAATATTTCAGAAATTACAGGTTTCGCGTTAAAATTCTCGTTTGCACTGGTCGACGCTTGTATCATCGGTGATAATCTATGAATGATACCGAGCCTTTTGCAAGATTGTAAACATAACATTCATTCACGTGACCAGGTTCGTTCGAAAAGAAATCATTAGCTCGAAGCAGATCGTTATCGGCGGTGCAGATAACGCGGAATCCACTAACGCGTGATATGTAAAGTAATTTTTTATATTATATAAACTGTTTATACGCACGTATATATATATTTGCAGAAGGATTTTCGTCCAAGGAACCAAATTAATGCAACGTATATATTTTTCAGCGACCTAACCTATTATATAATGCACATACGTGAAACGATGGAACGCGAAACGATTATATAGTTATATTTGATCGTGCTCGTGACGCGGTGCAGTCAAATTAGAAATTAAAGCATATTAAAGAAGGCGTCATTGAGCCAGACATGTCTACCGCGTGTCTCGACGAAGCGGAAATAATTTTGCAGCGCGTCGCGCTAGATAAAGTCGCCCTATCAGTCGCCCCTATGAAATATGGTAGGCTAGCGTAGCTAGTATTTGTCGCTATTATACACACGTTCTTTTTATAGGTGTGCGTACCATTAATATGCAGCGTGCCCTGCAAAACTGTCGAGGGAGTACACTCAGGAAAGTAATTATGTAGATCTTCTGCTGACACAGAACGCGGAAGGGTTAATGGATAAAATCGCATCATGGAGTCGAGTGACAGAGCTATTTGCTTTGTCCGTAAATAGATATATTCCATGCGTTTGATGCGCTTTGCGAGCTCAACCACGTCCAACTACTCCAGCTCTGCACATGGCCGAGTTATCGACAAAACTGGACGTTTTAATATTACCAATTGGCCAAATCTATGATCATGTTTGACACGTTCATATCGTTGGATGGAGCATGCGTGCTCGTTCAATTTTCGGCCTTGTTATTCGCGTAGCTTGCGGATGATAAAAATCGATCGAGATCTCAGATAAGACGGACGATATTGATGTATTTTAAATGCAATTTTTGAAAACCGAGTTGATAAAAGTATATCTGAAAGTTAACTTGAAGCACGCTGCGTGGCATATCGATCCCTATCGATTGGCAGGATAGATTCCACTTTCTTTCCGTGCTTTATCTGATCGTGTTGCAATAGTAGAAATTACACTCGGGCTAGCGAAACTATGCGGTCATTCATTTTTTCCGCTTACGTAGATCGTGTACACTAAAATTTTTTGTCTCTCTGCACCACTGCATCTAAGGTTCGTGTTACGAAGTCGTATCGTACTTATGATGTCAGAGTGATGTCATTCTTGTAGATACTCGACATTTGCGCCGCGTAGAAGCTCGCGGTACTGCGAATTATTAACGATCCAAGATTACGTTCGATTTTAAATATGGCGGCGAAAAAGCCGAAATAAATACATATCGTATGGGATACACGATATACATCTAGGTGCGGTTACATGTAAGACAAACGTCGATTATATACAAATTTTCGTAATTTTTTCCGCTGTGTACGTATACTTAGAAAGATTACGTGAATTTTTATCGCGCTCCACTCAACGAGAGATATAAAATCGATTTCAACATCGACCAAGGAGTTACAGATGACGAAAAGATATTATCGCAAACGGAACAATAACCACATAATTTAATACGTTTTCCGATAAGACACTACTATCTTATCGTATCTTTCTTCTTTTTCTTAAAGTATCGCTTCTAGACAACACGAAGATTAACTTTTGCTTCAGTTGTAATACTGTTACAAAATACAGTGTAATATGATAGCGTAAGGTAGTAAAATTAAACCGGGCAAGAATGGCAGTTCGACGACATGGGTTGGTTTATCAATGGACATCTATAGAGCATAATCTGAACTTCCATTGCTGTAACGACACCAACGCAGTCAATTCACCAAACTATCTATTCTGGATGCCAAGCCTCCTGCGACCGTTATCGCATATTCCCTTATCGCAGAAAAAGCGATAAAATGGCACGCCATTATGTGATCACTGGGTTCCTATTATGGTACGAATAGCCATTGTTTATATCGTTTTACTTAAGCTATTTCGTGTAAGTGCATCTGAAGATTGCAATTCGCAAGGTTTCTCGGTGAATTAAAGTCGTTGATGAACAGGAAACAGCAATTACGAGGAAAAAGATTAAATTGGTAAAACAACGGCGTTAAGATTGTCACGAAAAAACGAGCGAATCAATTCTACAATACGATTATAATTGCTTTCGAATGGAATATTTTAAATTCTTCTCTTAAAACGATCGAAACGATGACCACGAGTCATGCGAGGTTGAAAAATTATCGTATACGAGATTCGGAAACTAGTTCGCGAAACATAACCTAAGATATGAAGGTAGCGTTGGAATTATTCATATAATTTATAAATAGTATCCTCAGTGTCAATCTTCGTTTGAAATGAGAAAGAATTTTGAAATTCTGATTGTTAGATCATAACATAATTCTAATTACGGTAGAAACATATAACGACATGCTTAAAACTGTACACACTGTAAGTTGTTGTGAGGTAGTAACTCACATATAGACGTCTAGGTTATACTGTCTCAGTTAAGTACATTAACAAACATCAAGCAGAATTAGAGCGTAATCGGATTTTAGATTCCGATTCATATTCTGTTAATTAAAACAACAAGGACGAAATACAGTTGTATTTCTTACTAAGCGCCATTTTAACTCGGGACGAACTAAAAAATCGAGATACCGTATACAGATTAGAATGGGTGGAGTCCTTTCGAATTTTTCTACGCGCATATAACGCGAGGTTCGTATCGTAAACTCGATCGAATTAAAAACAGAAACAAAAATAATCTACATCGGATATCCAGTGGACTGAATAATCGTCGGTTTAATCCCCAATAAATTATAAGATCCTATCCATATTCAGTAAAACCGAAGAGTAGTTCGTTAACAGCATTTTCTCGAGTGTAAAGTGGACCTCTCGTTGCGAAGAGTGGGTACGGAGCGAGTGCGCGCGCGTGTTATCGTCATCTTTTTTTCTTGGCTCTTTTTCCTTCTCTCTCTCTCTCTTATTCACTCGATCGGTCTGTTCGCGCTCAAGTCCCGGTCGCTGACTACGTGTCCCCCTAGGGCAAGCGGTGGTGCGCATGCGCCGCGATTATGACGTCATGCACCATGACGCCACAACGCCCGATTGGCGGAGCGCGTCGTAGCCGTCGTTGTGTCGTCGTCGTCGCGTTGTCGAATAGTCGTCGGCGAAGGGGCATTGGGGGGCGAGGAAAAGGTAGGGACCGGCGAGGGGGAGAGCGACACCCGTAGCTCCGCTTTACCGCCGCATTCTCGAGCGTTCGTCTGCGTTCGTCTCCTCGTACGGCAACCACGCAAGCGAGTGCACGTCGTTGTGTCGCGCGCATACCATTATTTCGTGTCTCGTGTTCAACCTAGAATACGGTTTCTCTTGTATTCGTATCGGCTGCGTACATTTGTGCATCAGTGCTAATGGTGCTTAGTCGTTAGTTTTCAATAGGCGATTTTCTGCGAAAGTAAGTTGTGGTAAAAATATCTGGCGTCCGAGTAACGTGCTCTTCTTTTTCTCTGCCTCCGCCTTTACGGCGCGTCGCTTACTTCGCGAGCTGTTAATACGCGTTCGCTAAAATCCCGGCGCAATAATCGGTGAATTATCGAGCTTCGTTCCTTACGGCGTCGATTCATGTAGCTACAATACAAAGTGGAAAGGAAACGTGAAAGACGCGGTGGGAGTATATTGAGTGATTTCTCGGAAGTGAAGTTGATTTTTCGTAGTGTTTATGCGGAGACTAACATAGTCTCTCACGCTGAATATGCTGTAAAACCTATATTGTGCGTGTCCTATAGAGTGCGTGAGAGATATACACATAGAAACAGGATACTAGACGTGTAAAAGTGGATGTGAGTGATACGCTGGTACGTTGTGACGACGAAGACTCGCCGGAGTATTCGCGGACGAACAAGTCGAGCAAAATGATGGGAAAGAGAACGCAGTGCTACTTGTGCGATCTGCCCAGGATGCCCTGGGCAATGATCACCGAATTTTCGGAACCCGTGTGCCGTGGTTGCGTGAATTACGAGGGTGCTGACAGGATAGACGCAGTATTGGAATCAGCCAAGCAAATGAAAAAGGCACACGGTTTCCATGAAGCTAGATCCTCTACATCGAAAACCTACAGAACGACCGGACACACTGAACATAACGGCGGTGCTAATTTGGACGTTCTACCGATACAGAATACCGGTCAAAACCACTCGAGGCATCATAATATCACCGGTTACTCACAGCTTCATCATCGAAACTCTATTACCGAGTTCAACTCGGGAACATCGAGGCAGCAAATCTCTCGGCAACACGAAGAAACCCATGAGATCGCGAATGGCATGAGGAGTAATAATGTGAGAATCCCAAACGCCCACCTAGCCGCGGTGGCGCATCACGTGAACCTCAGCCACAACAGAGGCATCGCACAACTCAAACGAAGCATTTCCACAATCGACGAGGACGAACATGCAGAGAAGAGACTTTCGTTGGAGGAGCAGCATTCGGTCAGGCCGCCATTGACCAGGGGCGATTCCTTACCAGCTGTAAGCCTCGCCGTCAGTTATGTGCAGGATAGAAGTAAAGAGAAGCATCCTGTGAGAGCACCCAGTTTCGAGACCGCCACTACATTCAAGGCCAATGGTGAGTTATACACAGATGGCATGATGTGGGTACTCCGTGTTATGGACGCGTTTCCACCTTTAAATCTGTCAGTTTCGTTGCCATCCACCATTTCGAAAATCAAAATTAATCACAAATATAAAATTTATTTTTACAAAATTACAAAGTTACAAAGTTACTCTTACTATATATACGATTATAACCAAAAATATTGTGGAAGACGCTTTAGATATTCTCCCCAATTCTGTGAAAATTTTTGCCATAGTGTTATCGGTATTTGTAGTAATTCAAATATATACAAATTTACCTCCTGTGCCACATTAATAACCAGGTATCGCATTTTCTTCCATTTTGACGCAGATGGTCTTCCTCGCGCGTTCTTATCGGCTGGTAGTAAAAATAGGAAAACATTTGGTCGTGCGCGTGGCCATCTGGCATGAGAAAGGAGCCGCGTGCATGAGTTAAAAGACTCAGCCTTTAGACTTCGGAGAATCATCGCTCGCAGTAAAAGGAAGTTACATCTCCCTTCTCTCTTTGCTCCCACTATATCGGTCGCGCGTTGCCTTACGGCCCTGAGTAAGCGCGTTCTCCTTCTTTCCTTCGGTCAGTTCCTTCATTCTGGACGAACGGCAGTCGTCCAAACGCGTATAAAGGAGACGTACGTTAAGCACGTGATGGGACGACCAAAAGATACACCGAGTTGCCGTGCCGTACCGTGCCGTGACGTCCAATCGAATGACGTCACTCAGTATATTTAGATACAATGAATGAGTCCGTTGTTGCTCAATACAAATCTCATCGACGTTGCAAACATTTTGCAAATGTAATTTCTCCGTAGCCGGATAACCAATCTCTTAAAAACAAAAAGAATATGCCGAACACGGACCGCGGAGTGTTTTCCTTTCCGCGTTATCTTCGTAGCTACATACTCTATGGAATAAGCCTATATTACACGCGTGCTTTCGTTCCCTGCGTAGCGTTACGTAGAAAGTACGATCTTTTTTACGGGCACCGTCTTTCTGCCACTTGGAACATCGCGGCGGTACAATACTTTCGAAAACCGGTTCAACTTGTACGCAATATATTTTCTTTTTTTCGCGACTGCATCGCGAAGGTAACTGTAGCATGTCCTCCTTTTTTCTTGCGCTCCTTTCCGTCGTACGTGGCTCATTGACGAGGCGGGTTGACGATGCTCGAGGTTCGCGTTTGCTGTGCCCGTACGTACCTACGTACCGCCGGGGTGACCTTGGTCATCGACCGTTATTTCGACACTGGCCACTTTCTAATTCGACCTTAACGCGCGTGTGTTTACGGTTATCGAGTGGCGCGCTGCAGTCACTGCGGGGCGGCCATTTGTCCTGTCTCCTCGCGTCTCGCTATACATATTAGATCATTCCACGAGTAACGTCATTTTCCTACGTTGACTTTAAATAGCACGCTTACGTCCTATTTACGTCTTTTTTTCCCCAAATACTCACCCATCGTCAGAAAAGTTTCAAGATTTTTAACTAAAAAATTAAAAAATTAATTCACTTGTGGTGGCAAATGTCAATGTACTGTATTATCGTTACTACTTAATTCTTCTGTTATTCTCTCGGTAGTTAGATGCAGCTTTCCTTCAATTGAAGCTTTTAATGTCTCGGTTAAATGTTTCCAAATTTTTAAACAATTTTTGATGTTTTCTCGAATTTAAGATAAATTTTGTTGAACTCAGTTTTTGCGTATACTTCTGTTGTATTTAACTTCGAATATTTCCTCCCAAAATTTTGATAGTTCCTCTTTCGAGGAAAAACAGTTTAATACGATTCTATTCGTCCTGAGAAATTTAACGATTTATCGACGAATGGTGTTCTTGATATTTCTCGTGATGTTTTATCGAGGAAATGGTGCCTCGATCGTTACTCATAGGAACGTTCGTAGATTGTTATGGTGATCTAACAATGTAACGATGAAGGATCGTTGAGAATAACGGAACAGTGCCATTCATTTTACCCGGCTTCGACTTCTTTTCGGTTACCTGGCTTTGAAACAGTTGGCGTCTCGCAGCGATGGTGATTAGCGGCCATTATTGGGCCGCCATTTTTCGAACGGTCGATCGAGGAATCGAACGGACCATTGTGAATGGGTCTAACGGTTTTTAAAAACTGTTTCGTGTAAAATAAGGACGGCAGATATCTGATTCGAGTGAACGGGATCAGGTACGCTATAGGAAGCGTAGAGATACGTAGATTGTTGTCTTTAAGGAAGATTCGTAGCGAGGCATAAGTCTGGTTATAAACCGTTGGTGCTAGCTGTAAATACATTTGGATTCTGGCCTAAGGGTTCTACGAGCTTCTGCATGGAACTATGCGAAATTCACAGCGGTAGATATTCTGATTTATTCCTGTTTATTTTTCCTTTTATCTTTTTATCCTTAGCGGTAGCGTTTCCGCTGAGAAAATAGAATTCCCGTGTAGATAAAAATAGATCATCGTTGGCAAAGATTAGAGTCTGGAAATAAACATAGATTTTGGGGAAAATTTTTGTGAGAAAGAGCGTCTTTTTATAATTTTTATTTTCCCTCGTTATTTTAAGCTCATGTATCATGTGCAGTATTTTATTGCTTTAAAGCTGCAGACTGAAATCTATTGAACCGACATTCGTTTATTTTTAAACGAGTTCGATATTTAAAAAATTTTTAATTACGTTTTATCATAAGTTACATATTTCAATAATTTTTAATTAAGTTTGGTATTTGAAAATTTTGTAACCGATACTGTGGAATTTAATAAAAATTAATTAAATTATGTATTGTATACAAATTTTTGTTAATTGGTATTTTTTATTTTTAATTAAGTTTTGGTACTTGAAAATCTGTAATTAAGATTGAAATTTAATAAAAATTAAGAAAGTTGTGTACTTTTAAACATTTTCCCTCACGCTTGATATTTTAAAAAAATTTTAATTAAGTATTCTTAAAATATTTTATTAAGTTTGGCATTTGAAAAAAATTGTAATTATTATTGAAATTTAATAAATACTTATTAAGTACTGTTATATTTTTTCATTTTTAGTTCAATTTAATCAGCTTTGGTATTTTTTATGTAATATTAAGCGCGTGTAGTGAGGTATTATATTTTAATTATTTTCATAAATACACGGTATCATGAAGCGTAACAAACATTATTATACCGTCCTCGTGTGCCCTTATCGTGTTAAAACAGTCAGGCCAGTATAATTCTACGCGCAATTATCTGACCGCTCGTGTGATATTTTCCCTCTCTAGCTACTTAAATTTATTGCTCATTTCACTCTATCTGTGCACGTTACGTTCTCTCCCGTCACTCCGTGCCTCTTCAAAGAGAGTTAACGTACGTTAAGCACTGCTATTCTCTTTAATGAAGAGTAAACGCATAGAATACTTGGTTCCCGAAGCGGCAATTTCCTAGATAAACTCGATAAAGAAATAACCTAAACTAAATATCCTACAACCTATTTAACACCTATGTAATTTCAATTTCATTCAACGTATATTCCACGTTTGTTATTTTCGCACGTTATTACGCAGAGTTAACCTCTAAATTAGTAGCTTTGTAGCTGATCGTATAAAAATATTTCTTTCCTTAAAAAAATTTGGCTGGTATATGTTTATTTTATATTTTTTAACTCCTATGATCGCATTTCTACTGAAAATGTTATTAAAGTGTGATTAACGAGAGATTAGGTAAGAGGTTAGGATTAAAAAAATGTCTGATTTCGTCGATATATTATATGTTCTAAAAAATAATTATTTATTTTTCTATTTATTCTATTTAATTAAGCGATTAAAAATATACACGCAGCCATGTATGCATGCACGCGAAAGAGATGGATGAGAAATGACGGCCTGTCAACAACGGCAGTAACCGAGTACGAGAGCAGCAAGCTTGAGTCGTGTTTCGCAATGATCGCCACGGTTCGCGAGTCTCGACTATGCTCGATCGATCGCGTACAGATAGAGACATGTATACATCGGCTTCGACCTACGTCACTGGACGACTATCGCGTTCGTGTGCACGTCTCTCATCGTCATGCCACATACAAGGTGTTGCAAAACACGTGATAGAGCTATAGTCCGATAGGAAGAGGCGAACGCGTCGAGTATAGAACGTTATACTCTGTCGATAAAAACCATCGAGTATAGAACGTTATACTCTGCCGATAAAAACCATCGAGCTATCTGTTCGGTGTATTATTTTCAACCGTACGATTCGCACGGAAAAAACGTATTAGTTTGTCCGCTATATTCCTTTCGTTCCTATTTCGACAGGAACTGTATATAGGATATGACTTTCCACGGGATGAACGTCGTCTATGTTCAGCTGTTTAATGTTTACAAATTAAAAGCCGTTGTTTCCCCGTTTCATGAACGACTCATCAAGGTTAACTTCGAGTTAATAGGAAACGTAACCTAAGAATAAACATTTCGGGACACTATGTAGAGAGACGTCAGCCGTAAATGCGCGCGTTGACGGCGTCAACGACGCGTTGGGAGGGTCATACTTTCGAAACAAGGCCACTATAGTCGACCGGTTAGCAGCGATATACAAAGCGCAGAGTGTGACTAAGCCGACCGCCTACGTGCGTGATGCGATGTCTGTTACAAAACCGCGCATGCGCTTTCTTTTCCTCTGTCGCTCACCCCTCCCTCTCCTCGTCCTACCTCTCTGAAACCGTCGTTCTTCGTTTCTCCAATATAGCGAAGCTGCTGCTACGTTTCTTCGTGTACGATTGGAGAGATAGATAGATAGAGAACGGAGACGCGCCAACGGTCCTCGCTTCTATCAAAGTCGTCACGGAAAAGTACCGGTCACACGTCTTCTCGATGGCAGACCACGCTCTAGTCGAGACCTCGGTGACTCGTATACTTGGTCGCTCGTGGTGGGGCCAGATACGTGCGGATGCTGCGTTGCACTGGAATATAGAGGCAGTGGATATACTCGAGAGAGATATCGCGTGTCACGGTCCTCCGTAGAACGTGACGAAACGATGCTTCTTTTTTAATATCGATCCGTTCGCTTATCTGCCCGTGCCAGCGGAATGCGTTTCTTCGTGTGTGGGTTTGGAAATGCGTAAACATCGCGTTGAGAAAAATAATGAGACACGATAACTAAGAAGTAGCACATTGTCGGTTCAATTTTGTCGCATGGTACAGTCATTGGTAACGTTGTATATAGAGTGGTAGAGTAATGTTGCGAGATTGGTCGCTGATTTGAAATATACCTACTCGTGGAAGTTTACCGCTTTCAAATACGAATAATCGGTTTGTTTAGTTAAAGCAATTTTTTCATTTACATAGATTTTTATAGATTTATTTGCACGTTATTTTAACACAACTATTATTTACAATTTTAATTATATCATAGTTTTAATTCAAGAAATAAACATAGTTACTGCATCCAATTAATATTATAATCTCTTTACAATGTCGGTAAATCAAGTAAATCCAACGAAATATGTTTGTCTTTTGTTTGTTGACCTTTCTTAATGTATAATTGGTTCATCAAAAGAGAACGCATTTTTAAGCAAGGCAACGGGTTCTCATTTTCATTGAATATTGAATAGCCAATTGTAATCCATGCATGTTATTTTAATGACAAAATTGGAGAAAATAAAGGATGTAAAATAACACTGCAATGTTGCATGATATTTCATAACCTATAATTTTTTACTAGTGAATATTATTATTGTGAATTAATTTTTGTCAATTTTGCACAAAATATTAAGGAAAAAAGAAGTACTTTGAATCGTAATTAGGTTATACTTCCATAAAGCAGTAACAAGACACGGAAACGCAGTTAATTAATATAATTAATTACTTATCTTTCAATTGAAATATTGGTTGCATTTTGAAACATTTATTAAAATATCGTAATCAAGTTATAATTTCACGGTTACGATAAATACAAGAAAGAATGGACCGAAATATACTTCATTGAAATTCCAATTATTTTCCGTGCTTATATTTTAATCGATACGTCGAACATTCGCGTTTCGAAATACTTTTAATTACAATCAAATTATAATTTAACGATAATAATAATAATGGCAATACAAGGAAAACCGATTGGAATATATTTCGTTTAAGTTCCAATTATTTTTTACACTCGCTAAATTTTTAAAGTTAGGTTGCAATTAACCTTAAAGTAACATTCTAAGATACACATTTCGAATTGTAATGAAGTAAATGAATTTCATGCTAATAATAATAGGAGAAACGATAAAAATATACATCATAAAAATTTGAAGCACTCTCCATATTTATCTCTCCCACGATATATCGAAACTCGAAGGCCAATGACTATACGGTATCACATGGCATCGATATAATCGAATCTATACAGTACATAAACCTATAGGCAACACGCGTATTGCGTGTTAACGATTTTATCGTTGAAAGTGACCCGAGATGGTATAGAAGCAGTTCGTAAACAATATCAAAATGCGTAACCTCGCGGTGTGTCCTGTAGTATATATCGAATCACGAGAACGCTCGATATTCCATCGTGTAGCAGCGCCGATCGCGCGGTCATGAAAGCAAATAAGTCACGAAAAGCATTTCGTACACAGCTGGCGACGTCAGATGGCATGTCTTGTATGTGTCGTTCAATCGCGATCTCCCGCGGAATATCAATTTCACGGTAACGTCCGACCTAACCTATCGGCTTAACGGGCAGCAGCTGCTCGTCGATTCGGCTCTAGACACTTGAAAATCGGTCGGATCCGTGTGTCACTATTGTCAAGTCTATTTATAAGAATCCAGGAACGAGGCCTGTCTGCCCTCGATGCAACCAATGACAAAAGTATACTCGTTTCAATTAACATAATCACGGTGGCGCTGTCGTCGCGCGAAGCGCGGAAGGATATCTATTTCTGTCTTCCAATGATTCGTGGAGTCTGTCTCGTGTGATACGATGCTCGTTCATCATTTGAAATTTTGAATTTTCGACTACTAACAATCACTTGGTCATACTAATAATGTAGAATGATAGATAGAAATTTGCGAAATACTCGTGATGAAATGTTCAAACATTTGTCGTATTTCCAGGGGCGTACGTCGGTCCGTCTATCCCATTGGCACCAGCAAATGTGGCGGCAAATGGCGGAGGGTCTCCGCTTCGCCCGCGAACGAGCCCTCCACCGCCACCGCCACCGGCGCAAGAAGCCTCGAACGATAATCCACAAACGAATCATCACCAGGTAATGAAGTTCAAATGTTAGTGACCGCGTGTGAACACGACTATGTCGATAACAATGGTCTATCAAGGATTCGTTGTTATTTATGCATTTATTTATAGGTGTTTTTTTTCCGTATGCAAATTGACATAATAATTTGATCTTTCAGGGTTCGACAAATGGCCCCTCACCTATGGCGGCTCTCATGTCCGTCGCTGACAACTTAGCGTCACCAGAATCAGTGCCACAACCACCGAACAATCCGAGTCCGACCAGCAGAAGCCCACCGACTACCGCTACGAATGCTCAACAACGCAGTACCTCCAGAGCATCACAGCATAGCCCGAACAGTTCAGGTAATTATGTCTGTTTCCTTTTTCTTTCTTACCAGTACCAGGTACTGTTTCCACATTGGCATTGCGTGAAACGTAATAAATTGTATTAATCGTTTGTAGGTCCCTCGGGTAGGAGGTCTAATAATGGTTCAAGACATGTGTCGTCGACGACTGTGACAACGTCATCAGAAGGAGCAGTCGCCCAGGTTACCGGAGCTGAGCAAGTATCAGCACCGATACTTAAATGCACCCTGTGTCAAGAACGCCTCGAGGACACTCATTTCGTTCAGTGTCCCAGCGTGCCACACCACAAATTCTGCTTCACTTGCAGCCGAGAGAGTATAAAGAGACAAGGAGCTGGGTCAGAGGTGAATTCCCGGTTGATATCCCTGGATCTAGAATGCATGATTGCTATTCGGTCAATGTAACAACCTAATTCTCTGTTAATTTCAATTGTTTCAGGTTTATTGCCCAAGCGGAGAGAAGTGTCCACTGGCGAACAGCCAAGTGCCATGGGCGTTTATGCAAGGCGAGATAGCCACTATCTTGGGCGACGATACCACAGGCTCTGGGCTGAAAGTAAAGAAAGAGAGAGAAACTTAAAGGTTCTCGTATTGTTTAAAACAGGGCTCAAATTTTGCACCCTCTTTGAAGAGGGTTGATTATGGTGGAACCGTGAAGGTTCACCAAAAAATACTTTTGGTAACGGTGATAAATGTTTGGCAACGATATTGCCAACATTATTCGATTCGAGCCAAAGACGTTGTCGGTGTAAATTGGAATTAATAACGAAGTTGTTGAAGTTGTTGTCGGGGAAAGTGGACGATTTTTTTTTCAGCGACCTCTGGCTCGCTGGGTGTTCTGTTCACCGAGGCAACCGATTGTTTCGATCGATCGTTCATTCGATCAATTGTTTTGACTGGTCTTGAGAAGAAGTCTTTGGCACTTTTTGACACGCTGGCGTCGGTCCTGCACACGTGTATATATGGGATTATCGTAGAACGGTTAATGCGCGAGGAAATAAAAAGAAAATGTGGTTTTTGTCGAATATATACGAATCGTCGTTAGAAGAAACCGCGGGAGAGATTTTGTGTCCGGTTTGGGTTTGTACTTAGGCTCGATCGCCTTTCTTTATTGTTTCTTGTGTCGCGACGGTTTTCGCGTTTTTTGAAGTACAACATACAGAGGACATAACGTTTTACACGCCATACACATATAAGCATGCACGATTTGCTGCATACACGTACACACATACCCGCGAAATACGCGCGTCAGCGCGCACATACACAGACACAGAGTAATACACATGGAAACACGATACGATACCATTAAAATTAGGCGGTTGTATTGTACTTTATTTTTACTCACGCAGCATTGCGTGATCGCGGATTAACTGAAGTCGGGAAATATCGCGCTTCGGTGTTCTAAATCCCCGTCGGACAAATCCCTGACGGTCGTCCTTTTCTAATCTTTTATTTGTATACTCTTTCTACTACTACTACTACACACTCTTTGTATGATAGGGAAAAAAAACATGGCGAACATATTTAGACCCAGCGTACGGGTTTTCTGTACATTGTGTATATGTGTACATACCACATTATTAATAAAACTTATGGACTAAAGGAGTAACCATTTTTAAATGTACAAAAGAACTTACATTTGTTTTGCGTGTTATCTATTAAATTATTTTTCTTTTTTTTTTTTTTTTTTTTTTTTTTTTTTTTTTTTTTTTTTCTTTCTACTCGAATCATTGCGAGGAAAAAAAGAACCGTACGTCTGAATCGTTGTAAGATGTTCGAGCACACTTTTTGTTTTACTTCTCGTCGTTTTATTTTTTTTTTCTTTTCTTTCTCGTTTGCGAAATCGCGAAATCTGTTTGTAATAAAACTCGTCTGGTGGTATCCGTTAACACACGAGAGAGAAGGGAAGGAGGAAGTTCGGGGAGGGAGGGGCATCGTTCTTACCCAGTCATTCATAAACGGATCGGTATCCAATTGTGTAACGTCCACTTTCACCTTTAGTTAATCACTAGACTTTAAGTGAGAGGGCTTTTTGGTTTTTCATTTTGTCGATGAAAAAGGTAACGCCCGTCAAATAGGAACCATACACTCGCTATTGTCTCTAAAAAAAAGGTAAAAAAGAAAAAAAAACGAAAAAAAAGGAAACGAAAAACAAGGAAAAAAGGAAGGGAAAGGAACGAAACGAGAAACCAGAAAAAAAGAAGAAATAATGCAAGCATACGTTATTCTCTAGCATTCGAGGATCTTCTCGCGAGTTCTTCGCTCTGACGAGAAAATCCTCCGGACGCGAGCATGGCTCCTTTTTGTATATATTTGTACAAAACGGATTGGCATAATAGGCGATGAACGAAATGGCGAGATCGGTTAGTCGCGAGATGATCATGCGCCGCTCATCTCAAGTTCTATCTGGTGACGCACCGTGTCGCCACTGGACTCTCATTTTCAGCTGAACTTGTGGTCATCGCTTCTCTTGGTCAACGGCACTCTTTTTCCGAATCACGCGTTGCTTCGACGAGAATCGATCGAAGCAGCCGAGTGTAGAGGCTATCTGCGTTAGCGTAAGCGAACTTATGTACCGAAGTATCGTGCAAAATTGATGCGACAGTGAGAATGCTGCGTAATGAGGCACGATGCGAACGAGCGAAAGAGGTTAAGGGAAGAGGATAGAGAATTACAGTGGGGGCGAGAGTGTGAGAAAGAGGGCCGAGATTGAAAAGAGCACAATTGATCGTAGCAATACTTACAGAGGCTGTACATGATATTTTTTAGTTCGAGGCAGGTAGTTCCTACCTTCGTTGTCAAAGTTAATCGAAGCACTCGTTCGAAAGGGATTAGCAGTTCGTCCCGTTTTGCAAGAAAATATGGAAGCTCATAGAAAATCGAAAAAAAGGAAAAACAAGAAAGCAGAAAAAAAGAGGGCGAAGAAAATAATAGAAGACAGTTATCTCAGGTTCTTTGCGCAGATATGACCTGTTGTTATTGTATTCCGTTCTTTCTCTCCTAGTATCGCGCGATTCTGCGAACCGTACTCTATTTCTGTTTGAACGATGCGATTTCTTTTCACGTCGCTGAAAGTCGATCTGTTGCAAGCTAACAGAGAGAGCTTTTACCCTCTCGATACATCAATACATCTATTATATTGGTCGTCGAAATCGGTCGCCTGAGTGCCGATCGTTTGCTCTTTTTGCTGACCGTTTCACTGTCTTTCGCATTGTTCGCGCGCGATTGTTTTTTAATGCTTGCTCAATTTCCGAAACTATTTTTGGACGACGTTTTGCGGTGTAAGAGGAAAATATCGGTTCCAATATGGATGCGTTTATTGTTCCCTCAGGCAGTGTGTGTGTATGCGTTGATCTACAAGCGAATGTAGCAAAGATTTTCCTTTTTTTTCTTTCTCTTTCTCTCCCTCTCTCTTTTTTCTTTTTTCACATTGTCGGTCGGCCAGATGAGCGAAATTGGAAATGCACAAAGGAAACGATGTTTCGTTGCAGCAACAATAATATAATATTACTGTTAACATTACTCTTGGATAATTATAGCGTTTAGAAATCCGCGCCCTTGCCTGCCGCCATTTGCATTCGTCCAATTTCATTGTCGACGACCAAGCCGAATCTTCGTCGGTTATTTTCCCCATTTTCGTTCTTCTTTCTGAGGAAACGAAACACCAGTAACGCGCAATCTTTGTTCCCGAGATGAAGTAATGGAATAAAAAGGAAATATACGAATCTTTACCGTGCAGAGTGTGTTTCTCACAGCTGTAACTGTGTTCGTTCCGTTTCAGTTTTTTCTATCGATTCTCTCTCATGAGTAGCTCCACAGCAGAAGTACACAGGAAAGCGGAAGTAACGAAATAATACGTCGAATAGCAATTGTAGTAGTGGATAATGAAATTTTCTAGTATACCATACCTCGAGGAACGCGTAAACACTGTACTGTTTATCGTATGTATGCATCATGCAAAAGCAAAATATATGTGTTGATGTGTAACAATTGTGTTCTCTTTATTACCGTTATGTCGAATCCTCTTTATCTTTTGGAAGGATTCTATTTCAATAAACATCATGAATATCATTGTGAAAAAATATTCCTTGTTACATGTGCGAGATCTTTTTAAGAAGAGGTCAAGAAATTGTCTTCTTTTACTGCCAAACCTGAAAACAAAAGTTTTACTCTCTTTACTGTAATTTGATGTAATTTTTTTCTTTAATTCACTAGAGGTATATAAATTTTTGTTACGAAAGTCAAGGTTTATTACCGAATAAATAAATTATTCGCGAGATCCTGTCTTATTTTTCTAAATTCTGACCCATTTTCTTAGGATTGCAAATAGCAGATGTAATTTATGAATTTGAAAAATAACACATGAACTGAGAAAAGAGATTATTTATGAATTTTTGTATATTTCTTACTTATGTAAATTTCTTTTCTCAAGCTTTATAGCAAAAATAGCGAATTTTATTTATTTGGCATTATTAGTTTAGTACTTGAACAAAATTTTATTACAAGTGCTTCATTAGTTTGGCAGAAAATGGGTCATAAAGTATGGAACTTTACCATGAGGATAAGGTTAGGTCACTGATTCTTTTATAATTAACGCTTAATGGCCATATATGTGAACACTTATTTTTTTAAAAAGTATGTAGAATAATTATCTCCTTCTAACATTGATAAATTCGTCCCTGAAAAGGTTAAAAAAAAACATTGCATCAATAACTGTTCTGCATATTCTACCTAGTATACATAACACCTTTACTTTCTTCAGGTACCATAGCAACGTAATTTTATTCATAACAAATTTTTGTTTGTATGTACTTTTGTTGTTATTAATGTACAGATATCCAAGATGTTAAAAAGTGAAACTAAAATTTTGAGTCATAGTATTCACTCGTGGAACTAGACCATGCTTAATTAGCATTGAACCAAAGAAATATTTTGAGTGAAACATAATTTCGTATCTCTTAATTTATGGAATCAATCTAAAAATGTAGGAGATCTGAATAATTAAAGATTATCATCAGTGCTAATAAAAGAACAGTAAAATATAACACTTTATTTTCTCATTCACAAGACGTGTGTAATGTCTTCCGCTTCAATACAGCATTCATATGTACGTATAAATTATAAATCGACGTATGTACAGTTGGTGCCAAAAGTTTCTAATCAAGTAGTATTTTTGCTTTGGTTTAAATTATACATTGTATTTGATATGTCATTATATATACTGTAATCCTACAATGACTCATTATTTTTTAAAATTTGTTACCTCATTAATGTAATGACACTATACCGTGACTTTTCACAATTACAGTATTAAATTACCTTATTAACTATTGTGACATACTCGACCAGTAAATTAAACTCCCTATTAAAGTATCCCTACAAAGAGAAATAGAATTATATTTTACACTGAAAATATTGTTATTGGAATCAAATGTTATTTAAACATTTGTTATACCTTTTATTCTGCAAATAAAATTCAACACAAATAAGTAACGTTAATCTGAAGATGCGATTTGTTCGTATAGACATGAGATATTTGTTTCACATTTTGTATTTGAATACACGTGAATGCACGTGATCTTTGATATTCGCATATACGAATATTAGAACACGTAAGTCATAAAACCAATTCAGAAAGTAATAGTTAAATCAAATTTCATCACCTAACCGCATTTTTCCTGCAAAAACAAAAGTGTTATAATTTTGAAAAAAACGAATGTTTAAAAAATTTGTTCATACTGCATGATACTTTCTCTTAGCCGGAAGCAGCGGAATCATAAGTTCCGGCACGGGCGGACGGTCTCTGCGCAAAATTGAAGCGGTATCGAGCGTATTGATCGGTCCACCGCCAAAAGTGCATGCAACGTTGTAGCCCGGTCACAGAGAACAGTCGGCGAGGCCCACCGCAGGCTTCGCAGGCAGGCAACACTTCCTGAACTTTGAAAATCAATGCCAATGTTCAGCTGGTGCGATAGCTGGGCCAAAGAGAGAGAAAGAGGCTACATAACGGGGCGGGAGGAAGGGAGACAGGAAGAAAGCGGCAAAAGCAGCATATTGATCTGTCTCTTCCAGACGGCTCGAATGCCAGCCACGCTTCACTGTCTGCGCAACGAGAGACCCCGTACGTTTAAAGCGGATAGACACTCGCGGATGAACATGGTTAATCTTTTACGTGTGCGTACGCACGCACACTACGCTACTGTGTATCATAATACCGATGTATTATAATATCTAGAGAACGTGCGTGCACGCGGCACGGAAAGAATAATCGCCAGCTTTTCCAATCGGCGTGCGTGCTTGCGTGTTGTTAACCCTCGGTAACCGAATCTTTCCTTTATTAATTATTTGTTTTGGTTTGCGACGAAGCTGAGAGTTTTGGTTAGGCGTATAATTCGAAGCATATGAAATGTCTTTAACCTTAACCTTTCTTCAAAATATTACATAGATATATAATCAAAGTCTTTTTTCATGATTAAAGAATTTTATTTATTTCAGATTCACAGGAATTATGAATTCTAGAGTTTGAAGATTCTCCGAATGCTACTTTTAAAGATTTATTATTCTTTGCGAGAATTTATTCGTTGGTAGGTTATGTGGATACTTAAAGAAATCAGAGAAATAGGAATTATAGGTGTAGTTCCTAGTTGA